GAGGACTGTGAGGTCATGCGCAAGTTGCGCTCTGGCTATAGACGATGTGAGCTACCAGCCAAAAGCCTGATTGAGGCAAAGTAACGCCCAGGTGTGTCCAGGCGTGTCAGATATGAGCTACGAAACGTAGATGCATAATGATGCATAGTGTATAGATATCTATTTATAGATGTTTATAGTTGCTTTCACCCGAGGCCCTTGCAGCATCCTTTGTGCAGTGTACAGATGCAGTCTGGAGTTAGCTAGCTCATGACTTGCCTTGATCACTTTGCATTCAGTAGATCTTCCCACTTTGCAAGTTGAGTCTGGACTTGTGTACAGCAAACAAGAGTGGAACACGACTAGGAGAAGAGACATTTAGAATCATTTAAATTCTTTGGATTTGCTTTTGTATGGAACAAAAGGAAACGCGTGCACAAGTCTGAAACGGACCCATGACGACTCATGCAGTTGCAACTTCACGTGAGGAACCGATTCAGTTTCAAACCAGTTGAACCCTGCGTAGCTGCCTGTCACTAGGAGAAATTGCAGTGAGCATTTGGACTGGTGTTGGCAAATTGGAAAGCATATCAACTTGCCAATGAATCACTAAAAACTGTGCAGTGCCGTGAAGTAAGTTGCCACAGCTGGTGATTTCTCAACTTTCCACAGGTCTGTTTTATTTTAGTGGTGACCGATTCTTGAGTACGCATGATCACTCCATCACATGTCAATGATTTGAGTGTTTCTGCGATGAGCATTCAGCATTCTGGCTCAGGCTCACTTCGTACTTCGTCTTTAGGATAGCAATCACTTCTTTGCAATGGCAGCAGTTGAAGCAGTGTGCTCCCGATGCCAGGGTAAGGGACATCGTGCTGCTGATTGTCACCTACCCTTCTTCCGCAGCTGTGAGTACTGCAAGACTGCGGGTCACACTGCCAAGGAGTGTCCGCTCTTGCGACACTGTACTTACTGCAAATGCGAAGGTCATACCAATCGCAACTGTGCCAAGCTACTGGCGAAAAGAGCCAAGGCACGAGCGTCAGATGATTCAAAGAGTGAGACGTCTGAGGCCAGCAATGGTCAGTCTGGTGTGAGCACAGCTTCAACATGGGCATCATCACCTCCCAAGAAACAGCAGTGGAAGCGCTGGACTGAACCACAGAAGCCTCGGATGCAAGCCTTGACTGAAGATGAAGAAAAACAGGCACGCAAGGTCGAGAAGAAGCTGCGCGAGATTACAGCTCTGGAAGCTCGGCTTGCTGAAGGGGAAACTTTGGAGGACTTGCAGCAGAAGAAGGTTGACAAGAAGTCAGAGTTTGAGGACTGTGAGGTCATGCGCAAGTTGCGCTCTGGCTATAGACGATGTGAGCTACCAGCCAAAAGCCTGATTGAGGCAAAGTAACGCCCAGGTGTGTCCAGGCGTGTCAGATATGAGCTACGAAACGTAGATGCATAATGATGCATAGTGTATAGATATCTATTTATAGATGTTTATAGTTGCTTTCACCCGAGGCCCTTGCAGCATCCTTTGTGCAGTGTACAGATGCAGTCTGTAGTTAGCTAGCTCATGACTTGCCTTGATCACTTTGCATTCAGTAGATCTTTCCACTTTGCAAGTTGAGTCTGGACTTGTGTACAGCAAACAAGAGTGGAACACGACTAGGAGAAGAGACATTTAGAATCATTTAGATTCTTTGGATTTGCTTTTGTATGGAACAAAAGGAAACGCGTGCACAAGTCTGAAACGGACCCATGACGACTCATGCAGTTGCAACTTCACCTGAGGAACCGATTCAGTTTCAAACCAGTTGAACCCTGCGTAGCTGCCTGTCACTAGGAGAAATTGCAGTGAGCATTTGGACTGGTGTTGGCAAATTGGAAAGCATATCAACTTGCCAATGAATCACTAAAAACTGTGCAGTGCCGTGAAGTAAGTTGCCACAGCTGGTGGTTTCTCAACTTTCCACAGGTCTGTTTTATTTTAGTGGTGACCGATTCTTGAGTACGCATGATCACTCCATCACATGTCAATGATTTGAGTGTTTCTGCGATGAGCATTCAGCATTCTGGCTCAGGCTCACTTCGTACTTCGTCTTTAGGATAGCAATCACTTCTTTGCAATGGCAGCAGTTGAAGCAGTGTGCTCCCGATGCCAGGGTAAGGGACATCGTGCTGCTGATTGTCACCTACCCTTCTTCCGCAGCTGTGAGTACTGCAAGACTGCGGGTCACACTGCCAAGGAGTGTCCGCTCTTGCGACACTGTACTTACTGCAAATGCGAGGGTCATACCAATCGCAACTGTGCCAAGCTACTGGCGAAAAGAGCCAAGGCACGAGCGTCAGATGATTCAAAGAGTGAGACGTCTGAGGCCAGCAATGGTCAGTCTGGTGTGAGCACAGCTTCAACATGGGCATCATCACCTCCCAAGAAACAGCAGTGGAAGCGCTGGACTGAACCACAGAAGCCTCGGATGCAAGCCTTGACTGAAGATGAAGAAAAACAGGCACGCAAGGTCGAGAAGAAGCTGCGCGAGATTGCAGCTTTGGAAGCTCGGCTTGCTGAAGGTGAAACTTTGGAGGACTTGCAGCAGAAGAAGGTTGACAAGAAGTCAGAGTTTGAGGACTGTGAGGTCATGCGCAAGTTGCGCTCTGGCTATAGACGATGTGAGCTACCAGCCAAAAGCCTGATTGAGGCAAAGTAACGCCCAGGTGTGTCCAGGCGTGTCAGATATGAGCTACGAAACGTAGATGCATAATGATGCATAGTGTATAGATATCTATTTATAGATGTTTATAGTTGCTTTCACCCGAGGCCCTTGCAGCATCCTTTGTGCAGTGTACAGATGCAGTCTGTAGTTAGCTAGCTCATGACTTGCCTTGATCACTTTGCATTCAGTAGATCTTTCCACTTTGCAAGTTGAGTCTGGACTTGTGTACAGCAAACAAGAGTGGAACACGACTAGGAGAAGAGACATTTAGAATCATTTAGATTCTTTGGATTTGCTTTTGTATGGAACAAAAGGAAACGCGTGCACAAGTCTGAAACGGACCCATGACGACTCATGCAGTTGCAACTTCACCTGAGGAACCGATTCAGTTTCAAACCAGTTGAACCCTGCGTAGCTGCCTGTCACTAGGAGAAATTGCAGTGAGCATTTGGACTGGTGTTGGCAAATTGGAAAGCATATCAACTTGCCAATGAATCACTAAAAACTGTGCAGTGCCGTGAAGTAAGTTGCCACAGCTGGTGGTTTCTCAACTTTCCACAGGTCTGTTTTATTTTAGTGGTGACCGATTCTTGAGTACGCATGATCACTCCATCACATGTCAATGATTTGAGTGTTTCTGCGATGAGCATTCAGCATTCTGGCTCAGGCTCACTTCGTACTTCGTCTTTAGGATAGCAATCACTTCTTTGCAATGGCAGCAGTTGAAGCAGTGTGCTCCCGATGCCAGGGTAAGGGACATCGTGCTGCTGATTGTCACCTACCCTTCTTCCGCAGCTGTGAGTACTGCAAGACTGCGGGTCACACTGCCAAGGAGTGTCCGCTCTTGCGACACTGTACTTACTGCAAATGCGAGGGTCATACCAATCGCAACTGTGCCAAGCTACTGGCGAAAAGAGCCAAGGCACGAGCGTCAGATGATTCAAAGAGTGAGACGTCTGAGGCCAGCAATGGTCAGTCTGGTGTGAGCACAGCTTCAACATGGGCATCATCACCTCCCAAGAAACAGCAGTGGAAGCGCTGGACTGAACCACAGAAGCCTCGGATGCAAGCCTTGACTGAAGATGAAGAAAAACAGGCACGCAAGGTCGAGAAGAAGCTGCGCGAGATTGCAGCTTTGGAAGCTCGGCTTGCTGAAGGGGAAACTTTGGAGGACTTGCAGCAGAAGAAGGTTGACAAGAAGTCAGAGTTTGAGGACTGTGAGGTCATGCGCAAGTTGCGCTCTGGCTATAGACGATGTGAGCTACCAGCCAAAAGCCTGATTGAGGCAAAGTAACGCCCAGGTGTGTCTTGGCGTGTCAGATATGAGCTACGAAACGTAGATGCATAATGATGCATAGTGTATAGATATCTATTTATAGATGTTTATAGTTGCTTTCACCCGAGGCCCTTGCAGCATCCTTTGTGCAGTGTACAGATGCAGTCTGTAGTTAGCTAGCTCATGACTTGCCTTGATCACTTTGCATTCAGTAAATCTTTCCACTTTGCAAGTTGAGTCTGGACTTGTGTACAGCAAACAAGAGTGGAACACGACTAGGAGAAGAGACATTTAGAATCATTTAGATTCTTTGGATTTGCTGTCAAGGAGAGAAAGCAGGATATGCAGATTTTCTAGGATTTTCTAGTTTTGGGCCCTTGTCTCTACAAAATTCGTACCTGGAAGCGATGGTATTGGGACGATGTCCGAGTTCTTGCAGCCAGGATCCCAAGGGAGATTAACCACCAGCCAGACACGTGCCCGGGGTAAACTCGGATTCCATACGATGTGTTTCCAAAGGGCATTGGATTACTCGAACACACTGAAACTTGATAATGGATATATGATAATGGGATGCATTGGCATGTGTAAGCATGTGTGTAATCATGTGTGTTAGGCATTGTTCCGGCAATGTTTAGATCCTGCAGTGACAGTGTGCAGTCCCAGGTACGTTCCAGGGGCTCAAGTCTACGACCAGTGGGGACACCTCAGCCCAGAATGCCACATTGGGGGGAACCCCAAGTCATCTGCTGACTCTCAAAATGGTTTTAAGATGTTTTAAGATGTTTTAAGTATAGCAGGGATGGAGTGGCAAACAGTCCAGATTGACAATCATCACATATGCCATAATAATTATAATGATAAATAATTAATGACTAGACTATAAATAAATAAATCTTGATAAATAGTGAAGTAGACAAATAAGTAAATACGTAAATAAAGAAATAGATTAATAATAGCACATATACTTATTTACGATCTATACTTAAACATGATTGATAAACAAATACTACACATATATATGTATATTTATACGTGCACTCATGCTACCCAAAGGCATTAGATATGAAGAAGCTAAGATTCGTGGCCGACAAGTCTTGCACAAAATCACTGCAGGCGTCGGCAGTGGGTGCAGACAGTCGCGCAGACATCGCATCCGTCAGGGGAACCCAGACAACTGCAGTCGCAAATATGGGTATGGCCATTTTTAGGGGGATGAACATCCATTTACCAGCTATTTTGATGTTCACCAGGGGTACAAGGTTTTGACACAATAGCAATTCTAATGTGGAACATGGTGATAATCCATTGGAATATGAGATACACTATTTTAACAGACAACCCCGATTATCAATATCCATGTCTTCAAAAGAACCACTGGGCGATTGATGATTTGAATCTGTTTGAATAAGGCCATCTCCAATGGCCCAAAGGAAACACCATGGGAAACCCATCAAGAACATTAATCAGCACTTCCACCCGTCCAGAAAGAAGGACCTTCACATTGAATTTGAGAGCCGGGCACCCCTGAGCCTCTGAGACATCCTGGCGCCTAGGCAGCTGCCAGTTGCAGCTGCAGTGAGGACAAGCAGTGGCGCACCTTGGCATATGTTGCCCTCCTGTGTCTTCTGACTGCCACAGGCCCAAATCATCAAAGATGATCAAAGATTGTTTCCAATTCATGTTTGGCAGAGGAGATACTTGACGAGTCTTGAGGGTCTGTGAGCTGCTTTCAGTGTACACATTTTCATGCCAATACTTTGAGGAACCGTAGAAATGATGATAGTTCAATTAGTTCATTTTCTTTGTGCACAAATTGAATCTTGAGACCTTATTTGACCTTCAACCTCCAATGAAAAAACGAGAAAAGATGGAATACTCCTCAACTCATAGTCCCAGACGATGTGGCTTGTAAAGTATCAATTTGATACAGTAATTGGCTCCAAGCAACACTCAGATAAGCGGATTTGGAAGTGATGCAACAACCCTTGCCTTTGCATTTCTGATTCAATCTAAAAAATGTAACAATTCCAGCAACTTTCGTCAAAATGCATGGGCTGAATTGTGGCTGAGGCAATTTCGCGCCAGGAGACCGGGAGGGTTTGTTGATGTTTTCGGTTGATGCAATGTTGAACTGAGACATCACATCCCAATCCATGATAGCTATCTGATAGCTGGTACCTCAATGACATAGTCGTGCGCCGCTTTCATCCAGTTTAACGTAAAAACGATTCGTGTTCTGCCACCTGATAGCTGGCCAAAAAAAAAATCGGACGTCTCCACATTTTTTTTATCCGCACAGTTTATCGGGCGGTCCAAGTTCGGTTCGGGGATCCACTGAGTTTTGGCCGTCCAGCTGCTTGCAACTTGGAACCAGGAGTCTGCATATTCTTGGAGTGACGACCCAAGGGACCCACCCTCTGGTAATTTAACGTAGCTATTGAAAATGGCTATTTATAGTGGAATTTCCCATGAAAAATGGTGATTTTCCATAGTTTTTTGTATGTTTACCAGAGGGCAACCCAGTCGTTTCCCAACCAACAGTCATCGCTGGTGAAAATTCTGAGACCGAGGTCAAGGTGGCAACTCTCCGGGCCCTATGCCCTGCCGCCACTTCTCTGGGCCCGGCAAGTCAGAAACGGCTTGGTTTTTGTGGATTCCCTACGAAACAAAAAACAGCGCGTAGGAATAATTATAATGACATTTAATGACATTTAATGACCCAGGAACCGGCAAAGCAAATCACAGCTATGCGTTGCAATTACTGTGGAACTGTGATTTCAATGCTAACCTGAGGCACATTTTAACTCCGCGGGACTCAGGCGCGTGCCATTGATGGGTGAAATGGGAGAACGTGCATGCTATGGAGTCTGCCTGCAAAGCAAAAAACTTATGTTATCCTTTTCTTCCACCTTCTGGGGCAAGCCAAAAACCTGAAATGAATGCAATTCATCTGATTTCAGCGTGACATTGACATATTGATGGCATGGCTTGGCTGATTAAATGTAATCTGCGTGCCCATGACTTCCCTACATGTGGGTCTTAAAAGAAGTTTAGGCCCTGGGGAAAGCGCTGTCCTAATCTTTTGGCAACTGGACCCTCATGGACCCTCCAAGAGATTCGCAAAAACCATGGAGAAATGTGTTCCGAAATATGGTCTGCATTGCTGAGCTGATGAAATGGAAACCTCCTTGATTTCAGTCTCACAACTTGGTCAGGCAGAATCCCTGTGGCAGTGGGCAGGCGGGGATCACCGTTATGGGAAGACATGGTTAGAAGGTTGCTATCAACATTCTATCTGAAGTGATATTCTCAGAAGTTGTATCTCAAGTGATCCCTGAAGCTGTTTTTTTCTCATCGGCAACTACTCTACAATCACCCATGCTGGACAAGAATCTGGTGAAGAACAGACTTGCAAAATCTTGCATGGTTCAGAAATCCGTGTCATCAGTCCAGATGCCGGCCAAGAAATTGCAGAAGACTCTGTGATCCAAAAAGGCTGCTGGTGTTTTCAATGGCCATAAGAATCAGAACGGCGGATCAGTGGTCACAAGGTTTCATAACAAATTACCTGTTCATGTTTGAGTTTGACTCAGTCAAGATTCTGCAGGTGAAGGGCGCAACCTGTGGAGGGTTAACATGGCAACATGGATATGCATGGAAGTTGTGCGAGATTCCTGCTGATAAGGTAAAAGTACCAGAATTGGCAGGCTCTTCCAGGCTTTTCCTACTTGGAATGGCCCTCAGGTTGTGTGTAATGAATTTCTTGGGAATGCCATGAAGACACGATGAGACATGACACCTAAATAACATTGAATAACCACCTCGGCTCACCACCACTGGACCCATTCCCTGCTTAAATGGCTTGCCAGGGCACCGTCTATGCCTATGGCATACGTTGCGACGGGATCATCAGGCAGTGACTGGATGGAACTGGATGGAACTGGCACACCATCCGTTGTTTTCAGGATTTTCATGTCAACGTTGATTTGCAAGTGAATAGATCTGGCACTGACTCTCTCTGTCACATGAAAGTACACTGTGAGGTTTAAGTCGGACAACTGAGTTTAAACGTGTTTAAACCCTACTTGCTCCATGGTTCGTTTGGCCAGCCTGGGCAAGTTTGCTCTGTGCGCAACTGCAGCAAACATCCACCCAATCTCCATTTGATGAACAGAGCGATGCTTCCAGGCCCAGCCATGGCTGTTCGTGGGATCCCTGGTGACAAGCCTATCGAAAAACCATTGGTTTACCCTACACACCCACCATACATGACCACCCCAGCAATTCTTGAGCCAATTTGAGCATGTAACCTGCCGGGCCCGGCATGGCCTCCAAGGCACACCTTCGATGCACTCTCAGAGCACTTCTTCCATTGCAGGAGACTAATCATACTAATCATAGACTATACAGCACTAGATGTACTAGTACATACTAGTACAGTATAATCATGTATTAATGATTAATAATCATATTTTTGGGATACATTGAGCGTTGCTTCAAGAGATGGTGTCAAAACTTCCAGCTGTTGAAGATCTTTGGATCCGTTCTAATTCTGGTGTTGGGCTTCCTTGGTGTCAAGCATCGCGATGCTGTCGTTGATGCTGACAGTTTCTATTGAGTTTTTGAAGGTGGTATCAGGGGTATCCTTTACTAAAAGCATTCAGAGTTTGAGCATCAGAGTAGGCGACTAGGCAATCGCCAATTTCTCGGAAGTTGACAGGAAGCACAACGTTTGCCGCTTGGCCTGGCAGTGGACGGCTGCCACAAGAACAGGTGAGCTACGGTGAGTTAGGGGCCTCCGATGGTCTCCGGCAGTCCATTAAAGCGTTCTCTTCCCACATGATCCACATGAGGACCCCTCCAAACTATCCAAATCCACCGTGTGATGGTGTATCCTGGAGCATTTAGGGTAAGACAATAGTTGTTGGGGTCCCAGACACCCAGCACCTAAGTGTCAAGACAGGACTAGGTTTCGTTTTGTTTCTTTCGGTTTCTTCGTATATCTTCGCATATCTTCGCTACTTGGCTCGCGAAGGTGGACGGTGCATCAGCAGCACTGCCAGAGCCTCAAGCTCTGGCTTATGATTCAACTTATGCTTATTGCATAACTGTGTAGTTTATTAACTTATGTCATAACTTCTGATTGCTTTAGGGCCCGGCGATGTTTCCATTGCCATGTGGCATATGTGGCCATGTGGTGATTGCAGAATCTCAGATCTTGGTTGACCGTTCTCAGCCAGGTCGCCCAGGGCGGTGCTTTCTCCTCGTGCAGTTGCATCACCCCGGGTAGCACCCATTCCCTTCGGGGCAGGTCCAAAAGGGCCACCAGCATGGCTTCCCAAATCTGAAAACCATGGAAAAACATGGAAAATGTGGGGCGTTTGGGAGTTGATCCAGAAGGTTCTGGTTCTGGTCTCATGTTCCCAAGCATCGAACGACTTTCCGTGTCGTCTGTGTGTCTTCATTTCTTTTCATATATTCTTCCCATTTTGAGTGGTAAACATCTCGTAAAACATCTCATAAAACATCTCATAAAACATCTCATTTTTTTGTGGACTTGTCACTGGTGGTCCTGGTGAACCTTGGCAGGTGGACCTGTTGCCCGGCCCTCCATGGTGCAAGCGGCTCCGCAGAGGCCTGGGAGCAGATCAAACTTGGACCCCTGGGGCCCTGGATATGAAGATTGAGGACATCCACATAAGCCCTGGATATGCCACTGATAGTGTTACTGGATATTTTATAAAACTGATATGATATCATCATGAAGCTCAAGTATTGATTGTGTTGGAAACCTGGGCTAGAGAGGACAAGTTTAACTTCGAGTCATGATCGCGACAGCTGCAGCCGGCTGATTTGTGCTTGTGTCAACAACCTAGCAGTGAAACACCCTTCAAACGTCTTAAAACACGATACTATTTTTGGCTGCTTTATTTTCCTTCTTGCCCGTTCTTTAACATAGCTTTCTTCTTTCAAACACACCACAACGGAGTAAAACATAGTAAATCCATGTAAAAGCCTCTTTTGAGCCAGGTATGTTCAGCCACAAGTGATGCATCAGGTTCCATTCCAGCAGCCAGAGACTCAAGTGCTTTTGTCACACCAGCTGGATCAGCTTCCTGCATTGACATCCCGTCTTCTCCTCTTGATTCCCTTCGTTGCACTCTTGTGCAATCCTTCTCTTCTATATGATTCAATAACATCCAATAATTACATTTAGTATCATTTAGTAGCAACGTACCAATACACCTCACATCACCACACCCTTTCTTTCTGATCTTGAAGATTCAGCTTTGTCAATCACGGCTACAAGGCCTCAGATGCACGCAGCTGTGATGTCGCCACGAGGGCCATGGCAGGCGAGACCATAAAGCTTCAGCAGAACCCCCTGCTTGGCATGAGCAGGTACCAACAACCATTCACAACCTGGTAATTCATTTACATGCACACCACTGAATATACTGTGTAATATATATTATATAATATATATAATATAATACACTATATATAATATGATATAATGAAATATAATATAATATAATATAATACAATATAATATAATATAACATAACATAACATAATATGATATGATATGATATGATATAATATAATTATATATCATTTTATATGTATGATTTAACTAAATAAACTGTCTATATGTGTATCAGACGTGAGTATATATATAATATGTATATAGGACACGTAAAAGATATAGTTTTGTTCCAATACTCCTCAATTTCACCACATTGATCATGTTCTCTTATGGAAATCTATATCAACCAGTTGTTTCTGTGGAACAGGACCAGCATCGCTCCTTCTCTCACGAGACCCCCACCAGCTGGATAGACGTTCGTTTCGTTATGTTCGTGTGATTAGTGATCACGTCTCAGTCTCTTTAGATTTCCCAATGATTTCCTCTTTTCTGATTTTTTTTGAGCCTCATGCCAACTGGGCCAACTGGACCAATTGGGCCAACAGGCACCTGGCATTCGAGGCCTCACTTTTTCTGCCTTGGTCCCACACAGTCACAGGTACCGGCGACGACCCATCGCTTATAAAGCCGCTTGGCAGAGGCAGAGACGGTTCTGACATGTTCTCACCGGGGCACCACACATCACTATGAAAAACATGTCCAAAATAGGGCCGCCATCTTCGCAAGTCAGGACAGTCAGCACCATGCGGTCCCGGGGGGATCACTGGACCCTAGACACCCGGATTTTTGGCAGCATCGAACCACCTGTATATGCACAGTTATCCCTTGGAGATGGGCAAACCACCAATTATATATATATAGATAGATAGATAGATAGACAGATCCCGTCTTGATGCCTAATCCAAACCAAATGAAGTCCATGGAGCCTGAGGTGGTGATCCAGCTTCACATGCAGTGGTGAGCCCCCGCACAATTCGGGGGCCGGCACAAAGTTGCGATTGAACCAAACGGATGTCAGGGAACATGACTGGCTTAATGATATTTAGATAAAATTTATGAAAATGTTTCAATCATCAAACTTAAGAGGAGTTTCAATTCCCAACAGCATGAAAAAATCACGGAGATGGCTCCACATCTTTTCACTGCAGGTATTTCCCATCCCAGTAATACTTCAGCACCACTCATGTTTGACCAAAGTGGGTGACTTGACCAGTGACTGTCACCACCCTCCCATAATTCTCCCATACCAGTCTTTTCCAGCATCGAATCTCCCGGCATGTTCCCCTTGGACTCTGGCACAGCCGGAGAAATCCATCTTGACGCTGGTGGCACATTGTTTGACAAAATTCCAATTGTGGCAAGATTCACTGTTTGGCATAGAACGTGGATAGAACGTGCTACGTTTTCCATCCTCCAGTGAGCTCAAGTTGCTTTTGCTTTGCAGAGAGTCAAAGACGTTCTGCACCTTGCTGGGTAGACCTCAAAGATCTTAAGCACTTTGAACCCAACCAATGTGGGCCCTTGCAGCAAAGATGTAGGCAAAACGAGTTTGGTTTGAGGTGTACCCAGTCGTTTCGTCGCAGCGCCTTCTATACATTTAAAGATTCCAAACATAGGGCTTTGGAATGGATCCATACTTATCTAAAGCACCTCAAAACTAACACCATCAAAAAGCCTACCATCACTGTATATAACCCTAGAAAGCAGTTGCAAGAAACGCAGCCTGCTTTGATTTTGTGGTTGATCAGACAGGCTGTTGTTTGCCCAAGCCCTCCCAGCAACCTTTCCTTGTCCTTGTCAGAGCCTAGAGAAAACAGTTTGAGTGGTGCCAGTACAAATGTACTCGAACGCATAACTGGAACATGGCATGCACATGATATGTTCTTCGCAATCACAAGCACGGCAGTTTAACCATTTGGATCCTCAGTTGACGACCCGTGCTTGCCATGCTGTCCGCACTGGTGTCGGTGTGAACAGCATGGCCGCGGCCGACAACAACGGTCCCCGCAGCGCATGCTGCGACTTGCTGGACACATGCGGTGATCCCTGATCGGAACAAGTAGAATGAGGAAGGTGATGCGGGACCAAATTGGCAGGAATATGCAGGAATTCTGCAGTGATTTCCCAGTATGTAGTCCATATATGTCCATATTGCCTGCCTGGTAAGACTTGCACATGCTGCAGGAATTCTGCTTGCAACAGATGAGTGTGAATGTGACAAGTTGCTCCTGGTTCTGAATGCAATCAGAGCTACCTGAATTTCATATTCATTGATATTCCGCCACCTGGAAGCTTCCAAACAGATGCACAACATTCAACCAGACTTTGCATCAGGATCATCCAAGCATTGTGTCGGGCGCGGAGTGCCACCGGAGTGCCTCAGAGACTTTTCTGACAGGCGATGTAATATTTTACAGATGGTTACAGTATATTTCAGCATTGGCACCTGACTCAAATATATCACAATATATCAAAGGTACACATCTACACTTTACATACCAATCATACATGTATGATGTATGATGTGCGATGTATGGGTTTTCAAGAGTCTAGGAAATGGTCAATTCAGTTCCGTTTTTACTAGCCCTACTAGGTATTGCGACTCCTCATGTTCTTCAGATGTCTTTCTCACAAGACTCACAAAGGCGCTGACATGAGGTGCCCCCACTTCCCCACTGGCACTTGGGTAGAAAAAAAGAGTCTTAAAGGAGCCTAAAACACAACGTGACAAGAAGGTTTAGTTTTTTTAAATGATATTTTACACATCCTATCATCCCATCATTTTGCATGTTTGCTTACGCATGACCGCATTAATTTTACCTTATTCATTTGGCAAGTTGCAATCTCGGTTCTCACGGTATCAATGAAGTCATAGAGCTGGATTCCCAATGGTCTAGCATCCACTCACGGGAAGGAAGAGTCATGCCACTCACAACCATCCAAAGTACTTCCGCATTTTGCATTTGGTTTGCTGGACATGCTGAGCAGGTATGAACGATGATCAAAGGATATCAAAGGCACGGTAGTTACCGTATGAAAACGGTCAAGCCGTTGAGAAGCCTGTCTGCTCGGACTAGGAGCCAAAGGCTTTTTCCCCTGCCAGCGATGTGGTGGGGCTTCTCTCGAATTCGAGATGCAGCCGCTCATTAGAGCGACTAGGGGTTTGTGGCGCTGCCCACTGGAAGACATCTTTTACCGCATTGTACGATGTTTCAATGTGTTTCCATGTGTTTCCATGTGTTTCTTATGAGCTCAACATGCACAATTGAAGATTCTGAAGGACTTGCGAGGAGAGTGCCATCCGTTTTGCACTGGGAAGCAGGGGCTAGTTGGTGGTGATGTGCCTTGATGGGCTTTCTACCGCTCACCAGCTAGTCCACTGGCTCAAATGGATCAAATGTGATCACGCGCGTGGCGTCTTGCCCTCGAGATGATGGCTTGGAGCAGCTTCGGAAGGGAACCATGAAAACAAGTACCAATGCGGAGCCAAGAAGTTGCATTCCAAAGAACGGCTTCCAGCTCAAGTCAACCCACGAACATTCAGGATTATTGTGCTTCCACTGTGTGTGGGGGCAAGAACCACAAAGATCTGTATCATGGTCCTTTTGTCCATTGGCATCAGGACAGTAAAATGCGCAACAAAAGCAGACGAAGTCGGTCGACTGTCGAGCTAAGTAAAATTATCAGCACAATGGAATCAAACCGCACAAGCATCGATATCACATTTTTAGGGCCCCATACTGCAGACTATTCCTGTCGACAACTGTGGCAGTCCCCAATGTGAGCCTGTACCATTGCATTACATAGATGCTACAACAACAGCAACAAGAAAAGACGACGAAGAAGAAGAAGAAAAAGAAGAAGAAGAAGAAGAAGAAGAAGAAACCTATCTAGATCTATTTAGAGTGTTCACAAACCTTATGATGCAGCTAGAAAGGCAAGCTTTCCTTCAGCCAGGAGGTAGTGTGTCAATGCGGCGCCCAGTTTCAACACAACTGCCGGTGTAAAAAAAGGCTTTGTCCTTTGCTCTTTGGGCTGCGGATCTTCCAAAATTGACGAGACATATACGGTATTTCAAGAGAAAACCCAGAATCCCGAAGCTGCTGGTGTGGGGGCCAAACGCGGCTCCTTCGGCCAATCCCTCATTGCTAGAGAAATCATTCAAAATCTTTGGTCAAGGCTGGAGTTTATATGAGTTTATCACTGACCATCACTCTTCTAGTGGCGTTTTGCATTTTTGCCCATAATATCAAGACCTTTGGTGCCGTATCCACTTCAAAATGAATTGCCCACCTGTGATGGGAGGCGGAAGTCGGACAGCAGCGACAGTGGAAAGGTGCGGGGCCGGACCAGATGGCCAGATGGGGGGGGACTGGAGCCGACTGGACTGATCTTCAAAGAATGGGCTGATGTAAGTGGGATGTGAGCAAATGTAAAATGGAATGCCGGAAACTCCGCAAGATCCATGTCCGAAGCAGCAATTGTCATCAATTGTCGCTGTGTGGTTGTTCATTCTGTGAAATGACGGAATGTAGAATGGGGGAAGAGTGGAAATATGTGGAAATATGTGGAAATATTGACAGGATCGCTTTGGCTTCATGCCCAAAGATAAGGCTTATGTCTTCGGATCAGCTACAGCTATGGTCCAGCCCTGATCGAAGGATTCTGCCAGGCGCGGAAACGTCGCAGACCCAAGAGCTCCAAGCGAGGCAAAGGACGTCGAAAAAGCCCCAGACGTCGCAACTTGGGTGCTGAAGTGGCTGTGTGGGAACACTTGTTGCATCTTGTCGGCTGACTCGCCGACTATAGCCGGCGCCAACTATAGCCGACTATAGCCGACTAGCCAATAGTGGTAACGATATGTCACGATACGCATCCTGAATGTGCAGGTCACCATAGGTCACCATAGGTCACCTAGGGCAGCCACAGGCGAAATCCCTGAGAACTGGGTCCAAAAAGTTGATGGTTTCAAGTTGGTTTGATGTTCAGCTTTCGGTTCCCGTCAAGACAGTCCTTCCAAAAGACATCCAAAGACAACATGTGGAACCACTTAGACAGTTAGGGACTACTTGTATAAAGAACCTGGTCAATATTTAGAGAAGGGAACAAATAGCAAGGCTACCCGTGGAGTTGCAACTTCTCCTGATGGACAATCACGGCAGGTCATTTTGTGATTCTGTTGACATCAAGTTTGGACACAAAATCATGAAGCCCAAACTAGAGGTTGCTGAAGTTTGTGAATTGAACTAACATGTTGATCCAGATGACTCTGGAAGCCTAATTGAGCGATATTGAGCGGTGTGGCTGAAAAAGTCTTTTGGACCAGCTTGTCAATCATTTCCAGACCGCATTGGTAGGTCTATGAAATGCAGATCCATCATCCAGTGTTTCTATTTACTGGGAAGCTTCGGCTAAAAAGAACTACCAAGGTAGCCATGGGTAGCGATGGGTAGCCTTCATCTGCAGTGCTGGTGTTGGGATGCTGAGGCAAAAATAAGCGCAAAGACTCCAGTTCAGAGTGTCTTGGCTGGCGACTATCCCCCAAGCCTTCATGCAGAGCCGGTCGAACAGCTACTTAGTGATCTAAAGTTCAATACAGTTCATACAAAAGGACAATGCAAAGCCTCACGGACCGGATTGAGAACCATTTGATTCAAGCATTTGGTTCAAGCTTGTTGGATGTGTCTGGCTGACGCCACTGAAAGTCAACAACATTCTCACAATGAAGTGAACTGAAGCTGCTTCGTAAACACAGATGGTTGGGGAAGTGTGTCTCACGCCTGGCTGAACCACCAGGGATGAAAAGCAGCCCAGTGGCATAAAGCTCTTTGTTGGCCGGTTGCCTCATGAGGCACAGGGTCCACACTGCAACTGCTTCCCAGGGTCTGAGCATATTGGAAAACTGGGTCCTGTCCGATTTCCCTTGAGAAACAAAGGCATTTTAACCCTCGGCCATGTACTCTTTAAGCTACTGTAGCACATTTTGCGCTCCCATTTACTGTTCCCTCTTTGGTGATTTTGGCATTGTCTGTTGTGTGAGCGAGTTAGCTGAGCAAGGTGTGAGTCAGGAGTGAGTCAGGAGTGAGTGAGGTAGTGAGCGGGTTGGTAGTGAGTCGGGGTAAGGAAGGCAGTGAGACTTAGTGAGCCAGTATTCCGTTAGTGAGTGTGTTGGTCAGGACTTAGTAACCTTGGTAAGATAGACGGAAACCTTGACATGATGTGAGTACTTGCTGCTTGTCTCAACCCAGAAGGTCTCTTTCAAACTTTGTTCCAATACTTGCATACGAATGCAGATACATGGACACAGCGCGGATTTTCTCAAACGTCAGCATTGATTGCACAAGAAAACCATTACCATCTGGTAATTTAACATAGCTATTGAACATGGCCCATTTATAGTTGATTTACCTATAAAAAATGGTGATTTTCCATAGCTATGTTAGTTTACCAGAGGGTAAACAGACCCTTTTTCCACCTGGATCTCTGCGCACCTGGTCAGGTGACGGAGCAGCAACTCCGAAGTCTGTTCCAAGGTGTCGGTGAAGTGAAGGAGGTCTTCGTGATCAATCAGGCCGCTGCCCTATGGGTGGAAATCCTCACCAAACAACGGGCGGCAAGTCATAGGTGGCACAGCCATGATGGCCATGTGCAGCCCATGTTTTTGGCCATTGTTTCAGAATTTTGGTTCACTGGATAATTACACAATATTACACTTAAATAATTATACACAGATTAACAGGATACACTTAAATATAATCAAATATACACAAAGCAACCACCAACGTCACCAAGGGAGCATCCAACAGAGCACAGTCCATGCAGTCCTGGAGCAGAGGCTCCCCAAGGGGGCTGTGCCTTTGTACGCCTGGCCACGGTGGAACAGGCCTCTTGGAGATCTTGGAGGTAACATCGGTACCATCTATGGTGAAATCATGGTGAATTCCCCCTTTAAAATATTAGGGTGATGAAATGTTGCTGGAAATTTAAGGTGGAATTTTGTTAATATTTAAGTGTACCTTAAGTCTCTAATTCTGTAATTACTTCGGATATCTTCGGATCTTCTGACAGCAGCAGGCAACAGGATGACGTAAAAAAAGGGTGCTTGTATCAACAATCAAAAGGTGCAGAATGTGGAATGGACCATTGTGGGCCAAGTTATTGAGCATTTGATTTTATGATATTTTATTGAGCATTTTGTTCTATATGTATATAATTGTGCATAATTATATACATATATATATATGTATATACACATGTGTATGTGTATATTACACACACACATATATATATATATACACATATATATATATACACATACATACCAAGTTATATTATTTATTGGGGCAGTGGCCAGTTGGCAGTTTTCAGGCTCATCGTGCGATTCAAGAACTTCACGACAAGCCAGCAGAATCCTCAAGCTTGCTACTGGCAAAAGGGGTTAGGTCGGCTTAGGGCATCCTCTGACACAGCAGCAGTAGACTGTGTCAAGTTTAAGGCTGGTGACTTGTGTCCACAAAAGGGTTTACTTCGCCATACTTGTGACTTCCGACTTGATTTCTTGGTTTTCAACGGAAAACATCCAAAACATTTCCTGGCTGCTGAATTGCTGGAGGGCCAGTGCCCAGTTGCGCGTTTTTTTTTTTAAAATCATTGTGAATGTAATTGGTATTAATTGGTCAAGGATTCCAGACTTGCTGATAACAGTTGCGCTTCCTTACTTTATGCAGTTCAAACCCTTCAGAAAATGCCATGCAAGTTGATATCCGATGAATGATGCCAGCTTCCACGGCCAGCTGAGCCGGATGCGTCTTCCACAGGCGCCGACTCAAGCGCTCTACACTCCTCTGCAGGTTTGACGCCGGTGTCTCGCTGGTGTGCTCCGGGTGGGTTTCAAAAGGATGATGTGTATATATCACATATATTCACATATCATACAATGTGAGGCCCTCAAGATAGCTAAGTTGGTTTATAACTCCAATAACCATGGTTTATGGTATTTATAACTATAGTAACTATAGTTACTGGGGCTTATAAACCAACTTATAACTGGGGGCTCACATTGTATACATACAAATCACTCACAAACACATATTCAAAAATATAAACAGGCAGGGGCAGTGCAGAAGCGCCGCGGAAACCTAAATGAAGACGATCCTCTCGTATGTCTCCTCAGCTAAACTGAGGGAATACGCGATGGAAGGCCCCACTAATTTGGGACCTTTTGCGGAAGCGAAAGCCGTGGCGTTGCGGAAGTGCGGAAGTGTCCGCAGAATACCCATTGTACAGGTACAAAAACATGACGCTCAGGTTTTGGCCACAGCTCAAATTCAACCCCTTCAGCCCCAGACATTTTTGATTGATGTAGCATATTGAAATAATTGAAATATATTTTTCAGCTGGTGAACTTCAACATACCTCAGCCTCTGTCTCTATGTAGGAGACTGGCTGCCCTGTCAGGTGACCTTGGCGAAAGGTGAGTTCCAAAGACTTGGACTCGAGGCCCGGGGAAATTTCACCGGCGGAACGATGTTTTCGGACGTTGGAAAAATCGTAGGGTTAATACCTCACGGAAGGTATTTGAATGTATTTGATAGATGTATAATGATGTATAATGATGTATGTCAAGTTTGCATCCGCATCCTTCAGATTTGCCATTTCATATGTCATTTGACCGCTGCTGTTTCACATCCAGTGGCGGGACGAATTGCCATAGCGGCTGACGACTTGCCGCGCTGTTTTCTGGATAGGTGGGGACTTCGTGGGCCTTGCACCGCAATCTTCACATTGGTAGCGGAGCTGCCAATTCTGCTACCGGCTGGCTTCGCTGTTTGCTTGAGCTGGCCCTGAGCAGGCCCTTGCTGGACTACGTCCTCGCTGCCTACGGCCCTGTGCAGGCCACTTTTGTTCTTTGTGCCTGGCCTTGAGCTGGCCTAACTGCGTTCTGTGCTACAGGCCCTGTGCAGGCCTCACTGCGTGGTTCCCAGGTCCTGAGCAGGCCTGGAGGTACTTGGACTTTGGCCCTGAGCAGGCCGTACTGCTGCGAGCTGTCCTGGCCTTGTGCTGGCCCTTGGTGCACTATTTGATCAAGATCGGGCCCAGCACTTCGAATTTGACAGCCTTGTGATTGACTTCCCTTGCTTGGCTTGGATCGCTACGATCACCTCTGCCTTCGACGATGTCAGGTGGAACTGGATCTGCGAGCACAGCTGGCTTGGATGTTACAACCACCAAGGACTCCTACATCCCCTTGTTCAGTGGTGCTCCTTCAGACTATAAGGAGTGGAGGAAGCGATTGACCATCTATGTGATGAAGATGAGGATGGCGAAGAAGGAAGCCGAAGGCTTGCTTTCCGTCATTGGCTCACTGACGGGCACAGCTTGGAGGCTCTTGGAGAACTTCCCGATCGAGGACATTGAGAAGACAGGAGCTTTCGAGAAGATGCTCAAGATCCTCGACAAGGCCTTCGAGTACGACAAGTCCGTTCAGTTGCCAACTGACTTCGACAAGTACTTCACTGGACTCCATCGACGCCCAGGCCAATCGCTGCTCGAGTTCACCACTGAGCACGACCATCTCTACAACAAGCTCTCCGACCACGACGTCACCCTTCCTGGAAAAGTTCAAGGATGGCACTTGCTGAGAAGGGCCGGTCTGACAAGGGAGCAGAGACAATTGGTCACTGCCCAGGCCCCGACGTTAGAACGCAACAAGGTGCAAGAAGCCATGTTCCTGCTACTTGGACAGGATCACAAGACGGTCGCTGGTGGAGGACAACATCAACATCATCGCGGTTTCCGAGGGAAGGGGCGAGCTTACGCCGCCTACTATGAAGATGCTGACAACGACCCGGATCCCGATGACTGGCCTGATGATGATGGTTGGGAAGAAGGTTTCTATGAATGGGATGACACTCAGTCCCATGCCACCTCACCGGTTGATGCGGATGAGGCCTTGGAGGACTTTGACACTGATGCTGCCTACTTTCAGACCCTGGATGATGTTGACCCAGCAGAGCAGGCGGAAGAGTTCGACACGGCTTACGCTACGTACTTGGACGCTCGGAAGCGCTTCAACGAGATCAAGCTCAGCCGTGGATACCTTCCCATAGTGGCCCTCACCGATGGCAACCTCTCTCCTGGTGCAGCTTCGCCGCACTCCTCTGGGTCCCCGGTGTCTCCGGGACGTGGCAAAGGCAAGACAAAGAAGGGCAAGGGCAAAGGTGGTTCCAACACCATCCGATACCCTCCCCGGGGCAAGGGGAAAGAGCCCGATCCGAAGGGGCGTGCAAGAGCTTCAAGTGGCCCTCCAACATGCCTACGTTGCGGGCAGGTTGGACACATGACCTACAATTGCCCGGTGCCAAAGGGCGGAGCCACGAAGCGCAAAGCAGCCCCGACAGAAAGCACTGTCAACCACTCCGAGCACGGCCATGTGATCTTTACAGATCTTGGAGGCCATGAACGACATGACTGTGCCATGCTCGACCCAGGAGCCAGTGCATTTCTTTCTGGCTATGGCCCTTTCTTGCGCTACATGCTCAAGCTCAAGGAGACCAACTACGACATCACCGAGATCAAGTTCATGCGATGCCAACGAACCTTCTTTTTCGGAGGTGATGCCAGTTTGAACTGCACCTGGACTGTCCGCCTTCCTCTTCACCTTGGCGGCAAGCATGGCTATGTTCAGATGTACCTGTTGCCTGGCGAGACGCCTATGTTGCTTGGACGCCCCATCATGGAAGCTTTGGGACTGGTTTTGGATTGCCGCAGTCGGATGATCAAGTTGGATGACACCCCATGGCAAGATGCAGTTGTGGGTGCTCACGGTGAGTACTTGGTCTCTCTCCTCAACGAGTACGACAACGACATGTGGCAGTTTCCTCCCTCCTTTGAACTCATGGTCCCAGCTGATGGCGGCACCAGTGGTGATTTCTTGGACTTTGGCACTTTCAACAAGGAGACCAAGCTCTTTGATGACATCTCCAATGTGCAAGCCGCAGCACAGGATGGACTTTGTGCGCTCAAGCGTCACGTGCTGCAGACTTGCGATGTCACTCTCAACACGTTGGAGAACAAGCTTCACGCCTATGTCACGGAAGAGCTCCATCAACCATCCCGAAAGCGATTGCTCTGGGAAGTCTACTGCGGTGGTGCGAGGGTGTCTGCAATTGCAGAATCTATGGGCATGGATGTTGAGATCTTCAGTTATGAGACTGGTTGGGACTTCGACCTTGAAGAGCACCAGACAGCCTTCATGGAGCGACTCCGAACGGAGATGCCTGATGAGGTCTACTTGGCTCCAACCTGCGGCCCCTGGAGCCAGATGCAGAACCTGAATGCCAAGACAGAAGCCCAACAGCATGACCTCTACCTGAAGAGATCTCATCACCACGACTGCCACCTGATGTTTGTTGCCCAGATCTACATGGAGCAAATCAACAACGCCCGACATGCACACATCGAACAACCAGAGCGAGCTCTCAGCTGGCGCACAACAGCCCTGAAGGATCTTCCTGGACACTGGATCATCCTGCACCAGTGCATGTTCGGTTGCGCCTGCCTTGACAAAGATGGATGGTGGAAGTTGGTCAAGAAGCCCACTGGCATTCTCTCCAGCAAGACTTCAATGCAGGCCGCGCTGGCCAAACTATGTGATGGACAACATGTTCACTGTCCCCTTGAGGGCTCGGCACCTGGACTTGGCCGACGCACCTCATACTTGGAGGACTATCAACCTGGCCTTGCAGCGACGATTGCAGCTGCTCTCTGTGCTCCTGACCCTGCTCAGCTTTGGGACTTTGGCTTCGCCGTCTCTGAGCAGAAAGAGGTCACTGGATGCCTGGTCAAGCTCCAGACGGCATTGAAGACCGAAGCAGTTCGCACTGTGCAGCGATTGCATCGCAACTT